ACGTCTTCGAGAGACCTCGATTATCTCAGAAGACCTTTACTTGATCGTGGCTTAGTTAGACCCCTTCGAATTTATCCAATTGACTTGGAAGAAGTTTACCGTCTTGAGAGATTTCGATAATCTCAGATGAGCTTTACTTGCTTTTGGCGTAATTCGACTCATTCGTAGGTCTTCAAATAAATTGAACGGACTTAACGTCTTTGTGAAATTGAGCAAATCTCCGATTTGGGTTACCCGATTTGGGCTTAATTTGACTTTTTCCAATCTCTTCACTTGGCCTGGAGAGACTTTAACGTCTTCGATAGACTTCAATAATCTCAGATGAACTTTACTTGGCTGTGGCGTAATTTGAGTCATTCGAAGCTCTTCAAATGACCAAGAGAGACTTTGAACTATTTCAACGCCTTCACTTGATTTGGACGCATTTTTATTTTTCCACAAACGTTGATGTACTCAAATGGACCTCAATTCACTTGGACATACTTTCTCGTATTTGATGCAGCCTGATAGACTTTTCACTTCTTCGACGGACGCTATCCGACTTGAAGGGACTTTTACGCACTCGTGACGACTTTCATCTCTTCAACGGCATCCAAAGCACCTGGGCAGACAAGCGGACAATCGAGCAGACGGCGGGACAAACGACGAGGGTGTCGGTGAATGGCACAATTTCTTCTGCATTCACATTTTCATCTTTCTCCCATTCACGTCTCCGTCCGACCCCATTTGGTGCCACCCTCCAAACGGTACCATCAGCCCGACTCGACGGAACTGCCGTCTCCACTCGGCACTCGGCACTCGGCACTCGGAGCCGACATGTTGTCGCCTCGCAACGCCGCCTCGAATGCCAGCCGGCGTGACGGGGCAGACATGAATTGGAAGCTCCGGAGCCTACTACTCGTCATGAATATGAGTAGTGCAGTCGAAAAGCGCATAAAAGAATGCAGTAATTGGCGGTGACGCGGTTGAACCTGACGTCTGTGTCGTGGCAGGACGGAAACTCGAGCTCGAATCGCGCTTGGCCCAGTTGATTGGACCAGTCGAGTCCGGCCGGTCCGGCCAGGACGAGAATGTCTTTCGGACGACCAGACTGCG